TATTCCAAATTTTAAAAAAGCTCATTGCTTAGAAATGTTACCTGATTACTCAATACTTATATTCACACTTGATTTTCTTCATCAGAAAATGGAAAACTTACCTACTCTCCCAATTCTAAGTCAAAAGGCTAATTAACAAATACTCCTGCCCCTAAAAAATCTTGGGTCTTTGTGGAGAAGACAAGCCTGAAGAGTACAGTTCGACGACAGAATCTAGAAGGAGACTACCTGTTACCACTTACACACTTGTGCTTCCCATGCTTACAAATAGCCCGACTCTTCCTTCATGACGAGTGATATAACTTCTAAGGCTATCAGTAATAACAATGTCAGAAAAAAAAAATGAAAATGCGCATATTGCTCAAATGAAGAGTGAACGATGTTTAAAAAATCTTATTTTTAATATTTATCCAAAAATTAAAAATGACAAATTATACGAGATACAACAATTCAAAAATTCAAACATAGTTGTCGAATTATGTGATTCCACTCCTTCAACGAAACAAAAAAAACTTAATAATTTAAGTACACAATGAAGGACATAATTACATAGGCATTAGGGACGTCATAGATGAGCATTACTTTTTAAGATGACTTACAATGACTTTGTAATAATAGTTCTATTTACAATTTGCTAGAAAAAAATTAATAGTTCCAAAAAAACTAACAATCATCCAAGATATTAGAGAAAAACATAACTCGAAAATTTATAGTTTTATTTTTTTCTTTTTTAAGTGATCATTTCTTTGCTTTCTTTTAAATTTTTTCCTATAGGAAGTGTCATCTGCATCATTTACTTCAGCATCGTCGTCATCGAAGCTTTTCTTTTTCTTACGCTTTTTTTCTTCCATTTCTTTCATTTCCTTCAATAAAAACTATGCAGAGGCAACTGAGAGACATGGATATTCTGACATCTATTAAATACGCTTACAAACCTGTTTTGCCAACTTTTGCGCATCATTTACTCTTTCTATGAAAAGCATTACATCATTTTCCACTGTTTCAAATAACGGAAGCTTTTTGCCAATGAAGCGTTCAATTTTCTGATACATCTGAAAATTGATTAATTTTCTGATACATCTGAAAATTGATTAATATAGTGCAACAATTTACGCAGGATCACCCTAAGTATAAAATATCCTTTTTCACTTTGACTGACAATAATACTCATAAATCAAGGCCACTAAAAGAGACAATCAAAGAAATATCACTGATAACATTATAATTACGTCAAAAGTGAAGCTACTTCATTTTATCAAGCATTACTGATAACTAAAAATACAAACTAGATCAACAAATAACAAACTTCAATATCGTATTGAGTAACAAATGTCACGGCAATGCCAGATCGACCAGCTCGAGCAGTACGACCAACACGATGAACGTAATCTTTGGACTGCGTAGGGACATCGTAGTTAAGAACTGCATCAACATGAGGTATGTCAAGACCTATAAAAATATAACTGATACATGAACAATAATTACTATTCCATATATTTATAATAAGTTCCTTATTAGTAAAATATATAATACCAAAAGACTTGGGGAAAAGTAGAAAGAGAAAGAGCAATGGAAGATATCAATGAACTTATTACCAATAACTGAAAAGTTATAAATAATGGTTTCTGCATCCAGCTGTTTAACAAAGGTATTAGTATATCATGAAATGATATTCATACTCTCTTTTATATTTTGTACATACATAACTATCTCCTTTTATTTTTAAATAACTAACCTCTAGATGCGACATCTGTACAAACAAGGATAGTAGACACTTTACTTTTAAATTTGTTCAAAGAACCTAGTCGTTTTGCCTGAAATCTATATCAAGCAGTTAGACACATTAAGACTGAACTTTTAAATAAGTCAAAAAAGTAATAGTTGCAAACAAGATGAATAACGTAAGTACAGAAATTAAAGTTCTATCATTAGGTTCCAACCTGACTCATTTGGCCATACAAAGGGACTGCTCCAAAACCGAGCTTCCGTAGCATTAATGCAAGTCTTAAAACTGAAGCGCATGTAGCACAAAATACTATAGCTGTTTGTCCTGCCATTTCATTTAAAACATAAACCAGATACGCTTCCTGAAACATTCTGTTAAAACATAAGCAAATTTTACTTCAAAAGTGACCGCTGTTTTTTGGAATATAATTCTTTAGTTCTGCAAACTTGTTAAAACAAAATACTTTATATTTATAAGGGATGAAAATATAATGCTGTTTCAATTTATCAACAGTCTGATACTTGGAGTTGACTTCTATTCTGATTGGATCGTTTAGTGAAGCCCGTTCTAGTTTAGCAACCTAAAACTCGGAAAAGGAAATTATAATGATAACAGTTTAGTGAATATTTTATGTCACTGAAAGTGTTTAAAGTATTGTGAGTCATTAGGGAAGACTAAACGTTATAAAATTAAATGTTTTGATTTTCTACAAAATATAATTTTGAAAAATTACAATTACAATATGAAAAAAATAAAATTCTGCAAGCAATAATGAGAAAACACTTTAAAAATGCCATATAATTACAAAACTAACCTTTTTAGTCATTGTTGCTGAGTACAGATATGTTCTTCGATCATTTGGGATGGCTTTTAAAATTTTTTCCACTTCTACCTCAAAATCCATATTTAGAATTCGATCAGCCTCATCCATCACTAAATACTTCAGTGCCCTCAAATTGAAACCTTTGGTGTTCTCCAAATGATCAACCAGACGACCAGGAGTAGCTGAAACGAATTTTTTTACCCTGTGTACAGACTTAATTTTGAAAATTGACCTCAAAACCTACATTTATACAAATTTATATTTAGCAAATATTAACACAACATTTACCGACAATAATATGAGGTCGCTTCGCAAGAGCTAAAGCTTGCGTCACCATATCAATCCCGCCAACAATCACGGCTGAAAACATATAGCTTGCGTCATAGCATAACATACTCATACGGCTGAAAACATTTCATCTAACGATTGAAAAAATGAGCAGATTTCGAAGGAAATTAATAGGTTTACCAATGAGAATTCCAATAGAAACTCCTAATGCCTCAAACTGCTCGCCAATTTGAAAAGCTAACTCTCTTGTTGGAGTAAGTACGAGAGCAAACAATTTTTGTGGGGTTTCAAGTAAAGCCTGTAATATCGGTATTGCAAATGCAGCAGTTTTGCCCGACCTATAATGAATTTTAGATAACTCCGATACTTTGAAAAAAATTCATTAACCCACTTTAGAAGAATTTCTCTACACTGATGTTTTGTAGTCATAACACAATAGTATCTCATGGTTATCATTTAATTCAATCTATTTCTGGATAAGAAAATATGGGACAGAAAATTTTTATAAAATATCCTAAGAATTGCAATGAAAAAAGTCGTGAATGCCAGCTCAATTTCCGCCAAGAATGGGTGAACATTTGCAGAAGAAATCATTATTTGTAGAAATAAAGAGTTCAAGTAATAAACATATGCTTTCATTACATGAAAGTTTATAGCTATGATTTTAGAAGCTTACCCTGTCTCAGCCAGACCAATTATATCACGTCCTTTAAGTGCATGCGGCAATGCTGCAATCTGAACTTTTGTAGGCCTTTTCCAATCTAATCGTGTACATGCTTCACAAAGAACATCAACCACACCCTATAAGAGGAAAAAACTCAAAATGAACTTTATAAAAATCATTACTTACAATAAAAAATATACGTTTAATACGCTCATTTTCAGAAAAATCCTTTATTTGCTTGGTATTGCTACGTTTTAATTATACAACGTACATTTTTAGAACACTGTAAAAACATCTTTATCAACTTGATATCAAATATGAGACACAGACTTTTTAAAAACCAATACTACTGGGAATATAATTTAAAGCTTTGCTATCTTTATTTTAAAAAAAAAGTCTTTTAATGAACATGTTACTAACCAGTTCTTTAAATGTTGCCTCATCGCTAGTGCTATCAGCCAGAGCCTGCTGCACTGTTTCATCCTCATCTGATGATGAATCTGACATACCTTCTTGTCTGATTTATATGGCTAAAATGATATCATTTTATTCCCAAAAGCTCAATAACCAATTACTAACTTTATGACTGAATCGCTTTACCGATGTTTTACAATACTGTGACATACTACAGCACAACATTTGTACTATAGTAAGGCATTTACGAATCAGTTCTGAAACATACCGTATTGAATGCACAACAATTTCCAAAAAAATCTAAACTAATAAATTGCTAAAATGGAACGGCTAGAATTCGGCCCATTTCAGAGAAAATTATAGCAAATTTTTTTAGTATTAAACGATAGTTAAAAGAGTATAGATAGTAAATACAGTATGTGCTCCAACTAGATAATATTAATTACAAGGAATTCACGTAAAGAAATTTATTCTGTTCTGACCTGCTTTAGCTAAATTCTAAAGAAAACTTAGAATAGAGTAAAATGCAATACACTTTAAAATGTTGATATATTTTACTTTATTTCAGATTTAACTAATTTGATCAGAATTGTTACTTAACAATAAATTATATTATTGAATTATTATTGTAATCAGCATTAATTGTACACAGTAAGAGAAATCCATTACCTTTAAAACAGAGCTATTTCACAGAATAATTATATTGAATCACAGAGAATACACAACACCAAAAACATGCATCACAGGTACACTGTCCATTGAAACAACAAAAAGTGACTATATTGCTAATTAAAGGTCGTGAATAATTGACGACGGGTTATAATGAAATTTCTTGGATCTGTCCATTTTTGCTTGTAATTAATTTTCTCCAGTCTCAGATGTCAGCATGTTGCGAGTTTCAGATTAATTTGTGTGACATTTTTATAGAATCAGAATATGCAGAATAGTGAAAGATTTGTAAATATTTTCCTATATTCTGGATTGATTTCAGAATTATCCTAAAGCAATCAAAAATGATCTTGAAGACGAAGTGATACAATGGCTAGGCTTTTTATCAGAGACTTATCAGCGAGAATGCGACATTCTTGGCTACAGAAATTGTTATATTTGATCAATGGTAATGGCAATTTTATCTCGTAATAATGATAATGAGAAAATATTTTCGGTTATGTTTTATCGTCAATAAAGTTATTTTGAAGTAAACGCCTTATTACATGCAAGTGGCAAGTAAAGCATACTTCTGTCGTCTGTGCTTATATTATGAGAAAGTGAAAGTAGGACAGATTGACGAGGAAACTTTTCATCTCAGTTAAGATAACTTTCTTCAGCCAAGCGTGAAAAATGATAGTTCAAACTTTTCGGAACTTAAATTCAGCTCTCTTGAAATTGATAGTTTCAAGTAGTATCTCTTGACTTCTTGATATTACTTAATGATGTGGTAATTTCTATTCTGCAAGTCCTCATATTCTATTCTTCCGAAACGTTGAATTAGAGAAGGCAAAAGTAGTATAGCAATTAATTTTCTAAATTTTTCAGCAAATTCCCAAAATATTTTTGCATACTAATTATACTTTTATCAGTTGAATATTTTTTGCATTTCAATGTTCTTTCAGAAGTTTACGTAAACATTTTAGTTGTGAATTCTAAATTGATTCATTCATGCATATCAACTTCATTAATTGCTTTGCTTATCTTTGCAAAAGATTGCAAAAATACTTTCCGTAAATATTCATTTCTGTAGAATACTTGACTATTTTATGCTTGAATATTCAAATGATATAAATCTAAGAAACTACTACCATAAGGCAGAACTACTTTTAGTTCTCTAATTCAAATGAAATTTTAAGGTTAAAGTTCGTATTTGATATAGTTCACTGTACACATTTAAGTATACTTTTATTCACTGCGCACATTAATTTATAGAATAAACAGAGCAATTCAACTCACGCGTATTATGTTTCTAATTAACTTAATTTTTCTAAAAAAAAATTCAGTCATAAAAAACTGCTATATTCGAAGACTCCACGTAGTGAATTTTCAAACTTGACACATCTGTAAACACACACATGTACACGTAAATCACGTGATATCAAACATCTTTGTCCTGACTTTTTCTTAGCTAAGTAATTCTTGTAAAATCGCTTCGTGTGTACTATTTTGGTTTTATCCTGTTTTTACACGATTCACTCTTATAAGTAATAATTTTCTTCCTGAAATCTCCAGAATTATCAACTTGCAGCATACAAAAATGATTCTACACGCAGCCTTAAAAGTGATAAAGTTAAGTAATTGTAAATGAAAGTAGCACAGATATTTGTCAGGATTTTTTACTTCATAATCAGTCACATATTTAATAATTTGGATTTGCTAAAGCAGAATATGCTTGCATCTGATTTATCATGTCGGTAGGTTGAGGTATTTTTTTGTCATGAATTGTCTTGCATATCAGTAATGTGAGTCTTCTGGAGATAGAATAGTCATGAATATGCAATGATATTTGAATTAATTGATTTGAAATATGAAATAAAATAGGTTGTTCAAGATTGATAGCATGTTTTAGTTTTTTTGTGTCTTTTTTTTGCGCTGAAAACAGGAAATTATCGGGGATAAAGGAGCTGGCATGGAAAAGGCTGGATAAAACCAAATAAATTCTGCCTAGACTTATTTATTCACTTCTAACCTAATCTTCAAGCTTATTTCTTCTTGAATAATGTTTTTCTTTTAAATTTTTACATCCATTATTTCTCATGACTGCCCATATTCGTGTTCGGAAAACAATTATGCTATGCTTCATCTTAGATACTTTTTACATTTTGCTGATATAAATTATCAAATACTGAACAAACTATGTCATAACTATAAGATGAGCAGAATAATTAATTTTAGATGAATAAATATTATTATCAGATTGATTATGTTTATGATTATGATTATCAGTGGTTTAAAGGAGATAAGAAAATATGAACTTATTGTACCAAAAATTAACTCTCATTGTGCTGATTAGCATGAAACTTATTATGATAATAACGATGGAATAACGATAATGATGAGTGAGAATGTTCATTTTAAAAGTGAACAGTGTTGATAGCTAAGACAATAATAGAAGTGATGGAAAATGGCAATGATAGTGATGATGATGATAAATATAGCTACCGATAATTGTGATTTGCAGATATGGCATGAAAGGATGTTTGTTCATCTTAAATCTAAATTTTATCTAACAAAATGAGTTAGCTAGCAAAATTGAACTGAGTGAGTCCATGTTTTCAAAATTGATAAGCATATTATTCATATTTGCTAGGCAAATTATAATCTTACAGTCAGACAGCTTTAAATCTCTTTTGTACTACAATACTGCCTTCAAATGCTATTCCTATTCTATACAAAACTTTGCTTTTGCATCGAAAATACAATAATAATCATATTTCTATTTATAATTTTTTATTCTGCAAAAACTTTGCTTTCTCTGAGAGTATGAATTGGTACAAATTTATATATGGCAAGCATGCTTAAATACTATACTTTTTAACTGCTTCATTATTGGCATTATTGTGTTTCGGTCTGTGTTAGCGATTTATAAACGCAAATGTGATTGCTAGTGTATTTGCCAGCTATCTTTGTATGAGTATAAGTAACTTTACCTCTTAATTTTCCAGCAGTCAATAATCTATTCTCCTCTTTGCATTGCATTATTTTTGATTTCAGTTCCGAGTAAAAATTTAATCACTTCTATATAATTAATTAATTATTTAATTAATTTCTTATTCATGCAATTTGATTCACTTCTAAAGCTTAAATCTCTTTCTTTTCAGTGATCTTTTATTATTATTACCATATTTTAAATTATTTATAAGTATTTATGTACACTTATGAAATGGATTAAGCCATTAAATAAAATAATATTTTATAAATTAATAGCAAAAGTAATTTGAAATAGATCAAAATTTTTTTCATTCGCTCCATTTATTGCTATAATTATTGTTGAACTCGTAAGTCTTAAAATGATCTTCCATTGCTTTCCGTATATAATTACTTCTTCAAGATGACTATGAAGCCAAAAAAACAGAAAAATTGAGATGATGCCATATATCTCAATTTTCTATTAAGTATAAATTCAAGCAAAATGCTTTATGCTATCAATCTGCCCATTTTTCTATTGCATTTTCACAATTTTATGCTATTCATTTGTTCAATTTGTTTTTTTATTGGCATATTTTTGAATAAATGAATGTCTAATTAACTGCAAGTTTTGACGCACAAATAAAATCTAAATGAAATATATTTATGATCAAGATTATATTTCACTATTGGATAACGCTTGCGCAGTGCGACGAAAAAGTTCTCTGTCAGTCCAAGAAAAGGTTTATTTTAATCTTTCTAAACATTAATTCTGAAATTTTCACTTTTTTACGTTTATACGTGTAAAAAATTCACATGACCATGTTTAATTATTGAGTAGAAATATATTTGATTGATCAAAATAGCTCCAAGAATATTAAATTTACCAAACCTGCATTTTAGACCGATTTACTGCAATCTAAATGTAACACACATATGGCTATTAAGATTTTTTGCAAGTCTTATTTTAGATGAGATCAGCTCGAGAATCCCATAACACAGATGACATTAGGCGATGGCTTCTAATCCATCTTCAAGCCATGCAGGAAACCGCATTAGCTACGGATTTATTCTCACTTCAGCTCTATAAAAAAATTTGCTTTGACTTTAAAATTTTGACTTAAAATTTTGACTTAAAGTTTTGACTTTAAAATTTTGACTTTAAATACTCATGAAATAGAAGGTGTTATATAAACATTCCATAATGCTAAATCTCTTAAAAATCTTCGAATTAGACAAATGCATACAATTTAACTTTATGATAACATTAGCTTAATTTTGTTGTATCTGAATTAATTTTAATATGCTTTTAATACTCATTCAGTAATGGTTTTGTTTGCTTTAAAATACTTCAATGGATGGAAATTAAAAATTAAAAAACTGAATTGCAAAACTTTAATATATTACAGGAAACGAATTCAAGTCCTAATCAACTACATCCAAATGGGGAATCTATTCTTCAGGCAACTCTGAAATATATTGAAAATAAAGCGGATCGAGTAAATCCTTTGTGTCCATTTACATTTTTCAATCGTTCGTAAAATTAAAGCACATTTTTCCAGTTTAACAAGCTCTGAAATGAAAAAAAGATCTATTTTTAAAACGTATTTGAAAAATAAAACGAAGTAAAAAAAGAATCTATTTTTAAAACAAATTTGATTCTGATATTTTTGATGAAATAAATTTCATAAGTATCTGTTATTATAGATTAATGCTAAATGTTCGAGTACTATCAGAATCCTAATATCATCAGAAATTTAACGAAATTTTTATTTTCTGAAAGACTAGAATACTTAAATACGACTTGTACTCATTGTTACTTTACGCTGATTTCTACTTTCAGCTGAAATACATTCAAATGCTAATTGATAAAGGAGCAGATGTTAATTTCCAAGAAAGGCAAGATCGACGAACTGCTCTGATGTATGCGTGCATTGAGGATGATCGCACCGAAGAAGGCTTAATTATTGCAAAAGTTGTGAGAATTTTTCGCAATAATATATAATTACATTATTCAGTATAAAATATCTGATTTGCTTAACGAAATTATCACTTATGATAATGACTGATATCAGTAACTGACAACTATTTATAATATTGGATAACCTTAATAAATTGGAATGATTACAGTTATTAATATTAATGATTTGTAGGAAAGCTGCAGTTTAGGTGCACAAGACAGACTTGGAAACACAGCACTGATGTATGCAGCGATGAAAGGAAGAGATGAGCTGATGAGCTGTTTGGTGGATAAACTTTCTAAGGTTCATTCTGTTTGATTAAATATATCACAAATATTTGAGCATAAAAAAGATTAAATAATTTACATGCAAGAAAAAAATACGCTAAATACGAAAAAAAAGAATTAGCACGTATAACAAGCAAACAGTAATACGTGTTTATTAATATATTACTTTGTTAAATCCATCAAATATCGATAAAATTATTTTCTGATTTGTTAACGATAAATCAAAAGTAGGGTCATATAAATGCATCTACAAAATTTACATAAAGCAGAACCTCATATGCTTCATATTATTATTAGTTTTGATTTCATGTGATTACTTATTAACAGAAATTTGAACTATAAATAAAGAGCAACTAATTTTAGATTTAAAAAACAGTTAAACTTTTTGAAAATAATGATTTAGGGATGGGGTTTAGCAGCAATACAGCTGAAAAACTGCATGGGTTATACAGCTGAAGATCTGGCAATCCGAAATAAAAATCATCGCTGCGCGAGAATGGTACAAAAGCAGGTTAGAAGAATTAAGTTGAAATTTTCACCGCACTAAAATTTCAGAGGAAAAAATACAAATAGTCAAATGTAGAGGGTAATGGAAGAGCTCTGAATCAGATTACTCATTACTGTATTCAGATGAGAGATATGTTCATGAATTCTATCCTGATAGAAAAGTATTATTTAGTTGTGCACGACCAGTTACTCACATAAGTTGTGAAAATAATGCAAAATGCGTTAATTTTAGAAAGATATAAAAATTGCATAAAAAGCTGACATTATTAACATGCAATTCAGCATCTGCACATGTTGGCATGCTTGAATCGCCAAATGGGGATGACTGGAGAAGTGTCATGCCGACCTTGGAGCGTCTTCACTACAATTTATAAATGCATCGAAAAGTTAGTGTCATTCAGAGTTTTAGCTTAATTGCTTAGTTAATCCATTGTTTGATATTATCGTTATCATTATAATTATAGTTAATCCATTGGTTAGTGAAAATATATCATTGCAATTTTCACCCTTAAAAAGAAAAATATTTTTGCTTTCTTTTTAATTTAACTTAAGTATAATTAATATTAGCTAATGTTTGTTTTCTATTGTCAAATACATAACATAAACTCTCACTATAATAATAACCATAATAACCATTATTATTGTAACACCTTTATTATATTAATTATTATCATTACTATTATAAGAATAATAATAATTAAAATTATTATCGCTATTATTATTGTTAGTATTATTGTTGCTATTATCATTGCTGTTATTATTATTATTGCTATCATTATTATTCTTATAATTAATATAATAATTGCTATTATTATTATTATTATTATTGGTATTATTATTGTTATTGGTATTATTATTATCATTTTTGCATCCAAAATATTATTATCATTATTATTATTATTATTGTTATTATCATTATCATTATCATTATTTATTATTACTTGAAGTATTTTAGATGGAAACCCTCGCAACGCAGAAAATCAGAAGAATCACTTTTGGTGCTAAAAGCACAAACAAAGCCGATGAGCAGAAAGAATTCTTTGTAATTGCAGGCACTTACATACTTTCACGGAGATAAAAGAACAATTCACATTTTCTTCCCATTTAAAAACACAAGAAAATAATTGAATCTAACACTTTAAGCAAGAAATGACGCAAGCAAGAACTTACGGACGTAAAAGTAGCATTCTTTTATAATAAAGTGTGTTACAAAATATTAAGTATATTTGTATTCTATAAACGGACTTAATATTGAAAGCACAATTAAAGTAATGACATCGCAAGTAATGATAATAGTATAAAAATTACATAACGGAGCAATAAGTAATAAAGAAAGGTAATTCACGTTGTTATACTTACAATCTACTTTTAGCGCACTCGTATGCAGTTGATATTCTCAGCAATCACTGCAATTACTTCCGGGATGTAAAAATAATTAAAATATACAAAAGTTAATGCGATAAGTAAAGACAGAATGGATTTGATAAGTGCGAGTGCAAGAAAACAAAAACTGATATGAATGCGTGAGCCTTCACTTTGTAAACATCGAGCCATGAACAGCAAGCAGATTGCAGAAATACCAGTGCTAATGATAACACTCAAAGGATTGCTACTTTCTCACCTCTGACCCCCTGATGATATCAAATTTATCTGGTGATGAGATAAGAAATTGACATCAACTGATAAAGACTGTTGAGAAATGCATGTCATTTATATTAAAGGACTTTCTTGAAATATGTACCAAACTTAATGTTATGTAGTTAGCTACAAATACATCACATACTGTAAATAATAGCAGCAATTCATAATAATAAAATTTCATTTTATCTTGATAAATTGAAAGCAAAAAAATATTTAGATCTCTAATTTTATATTCTATCAATGAAACGACGATTTGAAGCAAAAAAATATTTAGATCTCAAACTATTACAGGAATTTGTAATTTGTAGACTGTAAGTTCAATTTTATGCAAATAAATAAATAAAATGTACAAAAATTAATTATTATGATTATAATTATGTTTATTATTAATTATTGTTATTATTGTTATTATATTATTTCGATATTATCTTTTATTTTTCATTATTCCACTTAGCCAATGTCTAAGCTAGAAAGTATTGGTTTCAAAGCGTGCCTGCATTCATACATGCTTGCTTGACAAACATTACACTGATGGGTAAAACTTTAATTAGTTTACAGTGTTAAATGCTTATTTACCCAACAATGAATTATGCTGATGCTTAGCAGAAATTTACAATATTCAGTAAAAATATTCAGTTAGCACTTCACATTTCAAGATGTATGAGATTAAAATCTATCTGTCTGCAATATATCAGGTCAACCCAGTACTCAAATACTTGTTAAATCAAAAGATTCACTTCATTCCTGGTATTGATACCACTGAATAGCTCCACACTCACTTCCAGTCTGACACAAGGTCGATCTTAAGGAGTCCTTATGGAATCTGTGACACTATGAGATAGAACTTCTGAACTGCGTTTCTTTGAAGCGCCAAAAAAAAAATTCTCTGCAAATATTAACATAGAAGCAAGAATAAAAGAATACTTAAAAACAATCACTTTGATTAGAAAAAGCTGCCCACAAGTAGTTACTTATGTCTATTTTTATGTATTCGTTTTAGAATAAACAAATTTCCGCACTCCATAATTCTATAAATAACCCTTTTTTGCATTCAGAAAAATGCAGAAGAAAAATATTCAAACGACTTCGCATCAAAATATATTAATAAATATGCAGTTTACATGGTTGATTGTCTGGTCAAAAAAATACACGCTGATATTCATTGACGATCCCTACTCAGTTCTCTGATAAATACTGCAATAAAAATTCAGAAGATCTGTGGGAGAAAAATAAATGCGAATTTACTGCCTGGAATCCTCCATTAAGAGCATCACCACCAATCAGTAAGATCAGCTAAACAGCCAGCAATCTTTGCTCATCAACTATTACTTGATGTTTAAATAAAGTATTCTGTAAGTAAGAATTGATTCCAAAAATTGATTGGAATTTTTTTTCCGAAAGTGAATTTTTTAGGAGAAGCTTTAAGTGATTAAAAACAAAATCGACGTTAAGTTATTCATTTTTTGCAAATAACGATGTCATAATTCATGCAAACTAAATTCTGACGTTGCTTTGTTTGCTTCCAAAGTACTATTTATGACGTGATTGATTCAGTAGTTAAGTTTAACAATTTTTCAATAATCAATCATCACTTTATCACTTTTCAGTTTCAGTTTCAGCCAGTAACATATGAAAAGTTTTTTGTTCTGAGCAATGAATAAATTAGTCTGACTTCTACTTACAGAATATTTTTCTGATAATTGCTTTAAATGTTGACTAATTATCCATCAGTATACTATTTTTGAATTTAGTTTAGTGCAATAAACAGAAACTTATTTGTGAACAGATAAAATTGATAGTACGTGAATATATAGAAGACGTGAAATTTTAATAAAAAATAAAACAGTAAAAATTTTGTAAAGATTTACTGTATTTTGTAGGTTTTCGTTTGCTACTGTCTTTTACAACTATGCTCAAATTTGTGTAAAAAAGCCCTTATAGTAATTAGTACTTTTTACTTTTTTCAATATTTATTCATTATCATGATAAAGTATTAAGATTTGTTCATTATCATAATTAAGTATTATGATTCCATCGAGTAATGTAATGAGCTTTTCGCATTCATTACTTGTATTTGTGGTTACAATATTGTATGCTTTCAGATCAAGTTTTTATTCAAAGAAAACTTTACAACTGTTAAAAAGAAAGTTTAACTTCAAACAAATAATTATGAAAAGTTACAAAAATTCTTTGTTTGCTCTGTTTTTTAAGCTAAAAATTGTAAGCTTAAAAGTAAGAAAGCACACAAATTGTAATAGAAATTGTTTGTTAACATTCTGTGTTTGATTGCGTCCACAATTCATATGCGTTGCAATTTCATACAAATTTGATTCCTCCAAAACAAGTTTGTGCATACTTTTTCTATTTTTTATTTCAGTATTATCATAGTGCCAAATTTTCATTCTAACTGTCTGATAAACTTAACTATTCTCACTCAGATATTTAAGTAAGTTTTTTGGCGACAAAATACATAAAATAATATTTTCATTTGTATAAAAGAATTTTTTTTTAATTTTCATTCAAACTCAAAGTCAAAATTGCTAGCCTCCTTTATATAAACTTTATCATTAATTATAAAACTGAAAGTCATTTAGAGTTACGACTAATTTTGCTTCGCTGAGAGAGCGGTGAAGCAACGACTAGTCTGCTTATTATCTTTATATATTTTTAATTTGTGAAGTAGTAAAATGAAGCAAGTAGATAGATCCTTCAGGCAGTAAGTGTGCTGCTTGGCGAGGGGCGAAGAGAAGAGTTGCGTTCACTGCGTGAAACATTCTAGACTTGACTTGACGAGTTTGTCAGTGAACCCAGAAAATTATTGCAGTGCTCTTTGGTTTCGAATATCATGAAGACCAGTATGAGTTTTGCTCCCCAAAATGGCAAATTACTACTCACAAACACTCAAGTGCAAGTGCTATCTGACATAAAGTTTTTCAGCAGTCTATACAAAGTTCGCAAGTTTTTTTCTACATAACTGATCGAATGCGAATAGCTGTGTAGATATGTGTGTATGTCACATTTGTATAGTTGTGAATTAAAAATCGCATGCTTGCAAACATGGATGCGCAAGACGTGTATTGATGAATGATCTAAGAAGCTGTCAGGACGTGAGCTTAAATTTGCGTTTGAGAATGTCAGTTTGCTTATATGGGTGTATGGTGCTTGTTGAGTGTGTGCTTGTTACATCTGTGTTTTGTTCCTATCTGCACATATGGTGGCCTGTGTTTGTGCACACGTGAATATGCACCATGCACTTGTATTGTTGTGAGTTGTTTGTGGATAGATCTGAGTTAGTCATGCACATCTCTGCACGAGCTAGTAGAAGTAACAGCATGTATGGTTGTGTATATTTGAATGGTATGTTTTTGGCGTGTGATGGATACTATGGTATGTGGTATATATGCTTAACACATTTTGCGTAAGCTTAGATACCTCTGTCAATATCCACTTCTGTATACTTGATTATAAGCGTTACGTGAGAAAGAAACCAAATGGCTAATAGATAAGAGCTAAGCATACACATTTAGCAGTTAAGCAGCGTTGTTAATCATTTATCCTCCCTTGTTCTGACGGATATTACTACAGTTAATGTCTAACCAATTTTCATTCTCAAAATTATCCGATAGCTATTGTCTAAGACTAAAGCTGAAGTTCTAGCTTTAGTGAAAAGCACAGCTGCACATGAAGATTGTGAATTTTGAACCGATAATTTGAAAAAATGTTTAATTAGAAAGCAGTAATCAGTGAAATATACTTTAGAAGAAAATACGTTAATAATGAGAGGTCATCTCTGTACAACAGTACTTCAGCAAATTTTGACCTTAAAATTTTTGTATCTTACTTGTATTACTTTCTAACTTCATGAAATCTAAATTTAACATTAGAACTTACAACACTTTATTCAAGCAATAAAATTTTTGCTTAATAAAACGGCTTTCTAGGGGTCAATGAAAGATCATAAATCATTAAAAAGTTCAGATAAAAAATGCTGTTATTGATGCGATATTACTGTAATACATAAGTGAGTAGTAAATAAATAATTGCAGTTACTGAATGATTTTTTCTGCTGCAAAACATCCTATTCATATGTATTAATTATCTAAATTCATATATATTATATTAATTTATATATATTTATTAGATAGAGTCAAATATTATAATTTGGTACTAATTCTCTTTAATTGATACTTATTTTTATGCAAAAATATTAATTCATATATATTTATTAATGTGGGATTAGAAAAACATCAATTATAGCGCAAGACAGAACATATTTTTGCGTAAAAATAAGTATCAATCAAAGAGAATTACAATTAGTGACTGCGAAATGGGAACTTTAGCATTGCAAATGCGATTTTCGTCTGTACCAAAACTAATTAATTATACATATTTGAAACGACACTAA